TTCTTTGAGTACTGTTTTTATGCCCCAATTTTTCATTAATTCGCCTATCTTTTTTGAGAGAAAGCATGACAGTAAAATAAGGACATGGAAAAATGTCTCAATCTGTCTCTCTTTAACTAAATAGTTTTCGTCTGAAAATTTATTCCTCAGTATAGAGATGTTATTTTCAATAAGGCCAAAAGGATAATTATTTTCTAGGAATATATTTGTCAGCCGTTCCAACTCTTTAGTCAAATGTTTACTATCCGCTAATTTCATACTTCTAAAGATCATTGACTTCAATATACCAACCTTAGTCTTGTAATTATGGAAAGCTGAATTCTAGCCGAGGACACTCGACTTAAGCAATTCAACCTTTGCATCATAACATTCCAGATCCTTTGAATCAAACTTGAAGTTCAAAGAAAACCAAACATATCTGCTTTATTTTTCGTATATAAGTAGAGTTTCGGGACTACCAGTAATTCAGTAATATGAGTTATTTACTCTATTTCGTTGATGAAGGACTGGTAGTAGAATTTTGCCACAATGATATGAGTAGAGCTGACATTTGCATTGGGATTGTCGATGAAGCAAATGTATTTTTGCTATAACAATCGGCTACATTACTTACTCAATGAAAACAACTTCTGGAAAAGCAAGTCTATGTAAAATTCAATGGAAATGTCAGCTCTACTACCAATCCTTCATCACTTTAAACGAAATAGGGTTGCGAAGACCTAGTCAGACCTGTATTCATAATGAGTAGGCTTTGATACTATCAGTATAACTACTAAGAGCCAAAGTTACCTTCGATTGCATAATGCGAGCGGCCGATAGTTAAAATTCTCCATAATGCTACGAGTTTGCCTCTCAGTTTTATTGAATTTCACCTATCCCTGTCTTCAATCAGGTATTTTCGCCTAGATTGCAGTGCATCTCCAGCCTCGTCTGTGTCTCATCATGATACAAGAGAATCTATTTTCGGCGTTACTACTACCCCACAATGTCACTGGTATCATTGGGATACAGGGCCAACGATAGTTTCTAGGAAGGCTAGACCTCTCTCACACAAAACTTTATAATGGGATTGCAGGAGAGAAAAATTTGTATTCCCTATTGCAATCGACTACATTACTTATATCCATGCTGAGTAGGCTTCGATATTATCTGTGAATCTTAAGTAGGAACCGGGTTCGAAGTTAGATCTGCAGTCAAACCCGTTCGATAGTACCTTTTGGGAGGCAAAGCTAGGTGAAATTCAATGAGCTCTTCATCATCTTATAGTTAAACCCGATCCTTATGGTGAAAGAAGTTGTGACCAAACCAGGGTTCATCATGTCTTGTCTTGATATCTGTGAGTAGGACGAAGCCTTAAAATTGGCTCTTGTTTGTAAATTCCTGGCCTACTTGGTTCCTAAACTTACAGTATTTACGCTCAGCATAATTTGATTTTTAAAAATTATATCCTCAACCTTAGTTGGAGTCTGCTCAATATTTTTGTCTTATTAGTTATAACTATAAGCAAGGGTAGTGGTCCGACCTCGTTTTTGCAAATTGATTGCATTTTAAGGACAACCGAGCTGGGCGCACCCTGTCCAAAATCATCGGCTACATTCGTTATGATAATTCCCAACGTTGGACTGTCAACTTGCTACATTCCCAGAAGTTTTGCTGGCATCATCAGTGACTCTTGCCATTCTCAGCACCAATCTACAACTCAACAAAGATACAAGTGAAGTCAATCACCTGACCAACTTTCTGCTAAGCATATTTGTTATCACCCATTCTCTCCGGGCTTGGTTTCACTTGTCTCTTTTTTACGGATTGTACCTTGGTGCTAAGACTGGCAAGACTCACTAACGTGGCCGGCGAACCTTCTTGGAATATACAAATTCCACAGTCCAACAATAATTAATGCAGCAGATGACCTTGAAAAGGATAAGTTCAACTTGGCAATCTTGACAACACGACTAAGTCGAGAAAATTAGGTCAGGCCGCTTCAATTTAATTAGTATAAAAAGAATATTTTCAAATGCTGCTTTGTATAACAAAACTTTAAGTACCTGGTTTAATCGAAGATGCTGTTGCCCCGGCATGGTCGAAGTCTCCTTTCGATTTATAGAACTGGATTGACCTCATTTTCGCAACTTGGTCTTGTTGTCAGGGCGACTTAGTAGAACGCACCTTGTCCTAAGTCCTCAGACCGTGGACTGATGCTGGGAATTATGACAACTACTGTGGCATAGAACTTAGGACAAGGTGCTTCTACTAAGTCCCCTTGACAACAAGACCAATTTGTGAAAACGAGGTCAGCCCAGTTCTATAAATACCCGGGTCTATTCACAAGATGGCATTATTTGTGCAACGAAAGGTTGTGTTTCGAGGACTCTTTGGGTTTATTTTTTAAACTTATCTCCATTTTGAGTGAAGGTCTGTGTATTATGAAAAGATTCGCAGGTCAATCCAACCAGAAGACGGCGGATTCCTCTTGGCCAGTTTTGGGTTGGCTTCCCTAGAACATTATTGTTGACGTTTTCCACAATGCAACCTTCAATTCGCTATCCTTTCTCCTCTGACAAGCATTATCAGAGCAGGCCATCATTCATCCGACCATCTTCCAGCAAAAGCGTCAAGAAAACTCACCGACTTATCTTTGAATGCTGCATATATGGTTAAATTTATCTATTTTGATGAGGTATACGTTAATTTAGTAGGTTCAAGTTTTGTCAATCCAGAAACATTTGCATGTGCCCGTTTCTACATTCATGTTTATCTTCAGATGTGCGTATATGTTGGAAACCAACAGTAACGACTCACACTGATTTGAACATGACATAGCATCTCTTCTCAGCTATCGGGTTATAATGAATACCCCACCTTTGTATAGTTTAACCATCACTTTGCCTATGTAATGTCGTTCCTACATGGAAAGAGTAGACTGGGACGTATCGAAAGTACGATCGTGATTGGAACTATTATCAACAGAGGCCAAGAAGAATCCAGCGTCGTATTTTTGTAGGATAGTCATTCGGATATCTTTACCAAAAACACTTTGACTCAAAATAGCCCTATTTTTGTCTGTACCCATGTGAGTTTATGTTGTTATATTGAGTTTTTTAAATAATCTATAAGTCACCTATTCTTCACTAGCAAACCAAATGGGATCTTAATCCTGAACATGCGGACCCAGGGCCAAATTTATTAAATTTGGGCCTAAAGAACTGACATAAACTTTTTAGAATACCTACATCTGAACGGTGTACAGGCCGTCAAGCTGATTTGATGAGAAATCATAAACAGCCTACCTACGAAGATTTTAATGAATTTTAGAGTTAATTGAATTTATAATTTCAGCAGTGTATTCATGTTGAAAATGTCGCTGTTATACTAAATCCCCGGATGGTCTTTAGATTGTATGATTTATATCACTTTCCGTACGACGCATCAATAAGCATGTGTGGATTTGTTACTTACCTCGATGCTATCTATTAGCAATATTAATAGACAGTAAACCTTTCATTTTATTGACGAGCTGCATGAAGTTAAGGTGTGGTACGATTTCTTGTGAAGTCTGATTCCTATCCATGCACTATGCTGCGTCAATCCACTCATTATATGTACCTTTTAGGCTATTTGCTCCATAACAGCTTAAATAAAGCTTACCGCCGCCCTCTAGCAGGTATGGCGCTTCTGAAAGGCGATTGCGATCACACTTTTTTATGCTATGAATTTTAATGGCACTAAAATGTCTTTTCAGTTGTATCCTACCTAAGTATTTATTTTTACCACGCATTATGACCCTTGCTAAATGGCTGAAACGTGAATAAGCTAAAATAGACTTTGTATCTTTCATGTTCCCTCTTGAATCAGCAAATTTCGATTTGCCTACGTTTACATTGAGACTAACTTAACAATTAATTGCGATAGAATCGTACTCGAAGGTTCCATGTCATTTTCTCTCTTCAAAATATTTTATCCTCGCACGCGAGCCCAATGTTCGGTACATACGAGTGGTGGTTATACTTTACAATCTTTCAAATTGACTCACATGACCTGAGGATAAAAACATGGCGCAGCCTGGCTCTTATATATTATTTAAGTTTATTGCCGCCGTTTCTGCTGAAGGCCTGATGTGACCTTGCTGCCGAAAGCCGAATCTCGAGGAAAAATGCAATTTTAATTTATTCTAATTCTATTCTAACTCTTGATCGAGCTGAAACTGGTACGTTTTTTCAACAATCCTCTTCTGAAGCGAAATTCACAACAGCACATTTAGTTCATCCACTCGAATGGTCTTTTGCTGATATCTTATCATTTTAATACGTCAGCGTCTGGTCAGCAAGATTGCCGTTAAGTCGATTGCGCGAAACTGAAAGGGAATTTAGTTTGATACAGTTTGAGCCTAGCTGTTGTTCAGAGCTGGCATCGAAGAAGCTCAGCCTCCAACACCAATTGTTCCAGTGCCATTGGAAGCAGCTTGGCCAACCTGCCTTTTATGCCCATCCGAATAGGTAAATGGGCTGAATTGACTTTTTATGCAGTTCAAGACAGGATCTCGCTGGAGCACAATAGCCTCCAGCCTCGGTGCATCCCGTGACGTTGGAGGGCAGTCACCGAAGTGTCTCCCATCCCATCTACTCTGTCCCATTCTCCCTTTGCCATATCTTCATATAAGTTTCTCCCACCTGTCCCGCCCCCATTCGCGGCACAGTCATTTCCATTCCACTCACTTGATGCTGTTTGACAGATTCTGTCAAATTTGGCATAATTTGACAAATCGCTTGGCCCATTCGAGAGAGGTAGACTTTGTCCTTCTGCCGTCCGCTTGTTGCAAAAGGAGACGATATCTGTGCATGAGCGAATGGTATGATGAAACTGGCCCGAACCGGCTGCTGGAGGAGGGACTTTTTTCGGACAGACGGAAGACCCCAAAGGGAAGCTTGATAGAGGCAAACCACGAGTACGACCATGGAAAGGGAGTGATAGTTATTTTCGTATCAAGCTCCATTAGGCTTGAATCCTACTAAGAAAAACTGGGTTTCGAAGAATGCCCCAGTGACATATCGTAACATGACTTTTCACTTCAAAGGAAAAGTTGCCTGGAAGGAATTTATAAAGCGGTCTCCTTGGTAACTGAAGGAAGATGGCCGCGGAGCGAATACATTCTCGTCTCATCGTCCTGCGACTCCAATAAACCTGTGCAAGAATTCATACTTTACGAGATGAATCCCAAATAGGTTAAACCGAGAGTAAGGTGGCCGTGTGCAACCCTAGTTACTTTTTTATGCACAC